GGTAGGTGTAGTGTGGTGGGTGGTGTGGTGGGTGTAGTGTGGTGTGGTGGGTGTAGTGTATGTAGGTGTAGTGTGGGTGAGGTAGTGGTGGGCGCAGTGTGGTGTGGTGGGTGTGGTATGGTGGGTGTGGTGTGGTGGGTGTAGTGGGTGGGTGTGGTGGTGGGTGTAGTTCAGAGATGTGGTGGTTGGTGTGGTGAGGTGGTTGTGGTGGTGGGTAGTATGGTGGGTGTAGGAGGTGTAGGTGGCTGATGCAGATGGGAGTGGAGGTGATGTGGTGGGTGGTGGTGGGTGTAGTGGTGGGTTGTGGTGTGGCAGGTGTGGTGTGGTATGTGTGGTGGGTGGTGGTAGATGTAGTATGGTGGGTGTAGTGGTGGGTGTAGTATGGTGGGTGTAGTGTGGTGGGTGTAGATATGGTGGGCGTGTAAGGTGGTGTGGGTGACAGTGGTGTAGGGTGTGAGGTGTGGTGGTGTGGTGTGGTGTGTGTGGTGGATGTGGTGGGTGTGTGGTGGTGTGGTGGTAGTGTGGTGGGTAGTGTGGTGGAGTGTGGGTGCAGTGTGGTGTGTAGTGTAGGGGTGGTGTGGTGGGTGTGGTGTAGTGTGGTGGGTGTAGTGTGTGGTGTGGTAGATGTAGTATGGTGCGGTAGGTGTAGTGTGGTGGGTGTAGTGTGGTGGATGAAAGGATAGGTGTGTGATGGGTAGTGTGGGTGGGTAGTGTGGTGGTGTGGTGGGTGTGGTGGTGGGTAGTGGTGGGTGTAGTGTGGTGGTAGATGTAGTATGGTGCGGTGGGTAGTGTGGTGGGTGTAGTGGTGGATGAAATGATAGGTGTAGTGTGATGGGTGTGTGGTGGGTGTAGTGTGGTGGGTGATGGGTGAAAGATGGGTAGTGTGGTGGTGTATGGTGGGTGTAGTGTAGTGGTGTAGCGTGGTGGGTGTAGTGTAGTGGTGTGGTGTGGTGTGATGGGTGTAGTGTGGTGGGTGTAATGATGGGTGTAGTGTGGTGGGTGTGTGTGGTGGGTTTAGTGTGGCGGGTGTAGTGTGATGGGTGAGGCATGGTGGGTGTAGTGGTGGGTGTAGGCAGTGGGTGTAGTGATGAGGTGTAGTGGTGGGTGTAGCGTGGTGGATGTAGTGTAGTGGGTAACGTGGTGGGTGTAGTGTGTGGTGTGATATGTAGTGTGATGGGTAGTGGTGGGTGTAGTGTGGGTGTAGTGGCGGGTGTAGTGGTGGGTGAGGTGTGGGTGGCAGGCGTGTGGTAGGCGTAGTGTGGTGGGTGTAGAGTGGTGGGCGTAGTTTGGTGGGTGGTGGGTGTAGAGTGGTGGGCGTAGTGTGGTGGGCGTAGTGTGGTGGGTGTAGTGTGCTGGGTAGTGGTGGGCGCAGCGTGGTGGGCGTAGTGGTGGGTGAGAGTGGTGGGCGCAGTGTGGTGGGTGTGAGTGGTGGGTGTGTGGTGGGTGTAGAGTGGTGGGCGGGGTGTGGTGGGTGTAGTGTGGTGGGTGTGTGGTGGGTGTGGTGGTGTGGTGGAGTGGTGTGTGTAGTGTGGTAGGTGTGTGTAACGTGGTGGGTGTGGTGGGTGTAGTGTGGTGTGGCAGATGGGAGGTGGGTGTGCAGTGGTGTGTAGTGTGGTGTGGTAGGTGGGTGTGTAGGTGGGTGTGTGGGTGTAGGTGTAGTGTGTGGTGTGTAGTGGTGGGTAGTGTGTGTGGGTGTGTGGTGTAGCGGTGTAGTGTGGTGTGGTGGGTGTGGTGAATGGTGTGGTGGTGGGTGTAGTATGGTGGGTGTAGTGTGGTGGGTGTGTGGTGTGGGTGTAGTGTGGTGGGTGTAGTGTGGTGGCAGGTGTGTGGTGGGTGCAGTGGTGGGTGTGGTGTGGTGTGGTGGGTGTAGTTTGGTAGGTGTAGTGTGGTGTGGTGTAGTGGTGGGCGTAGTGTGGTGTGGTGGGTGTATTATGGTAGGTGTAGTGTGGTGGGTGTAGTGTGGTGGGTGTAGTGTTGTGTGGTGGGTGTAGTTTGGGAGATGTAGTGTGGTGTGGTAGGTGTAGCGTGGTAGGTGTTGTGTGGTGTGGTGGGTGTAGTGTGGTGGGTGTAGTGTGGTGGGTGTAGTGTGGTGGATGTAGTGTGGTGGGTGTAGTGTGGTAGGTGGAGTGTGGTGTGTAATGAGACGGATCTTGCCTGAAGAATATTTATATATATATATAGGTAGAATATTTAGTAAGAGAGTAAAAGAGAGGAAGATTTTGGTAGCGTGGCCGTGATAGTTATTTACACTTATCGTATCTTCTACGTCAATACACATCTATTACGTTCTTAAAGGCGACTTCTCAAACACTGCTTCGTTACAACTCTTTATTAATTACGAACATGACATGGACACATTAATAACACCTTCTATTGAAGTTACTAGGACATTATATTTACGTTACTAGGACATCATATTACGTTACTAGACACTCTGATTCTCGGACACGAACATGAAATGAATACACTTCCCACGTAAGTAACTCATCCCATGGAAAGCTCTGACAAACACTCACGTGACCTAGGGGAAGCCTAGCAGGTAGTCCTGGGTTGTCTCTATGGGAGACTGCTTAGCTGGGCGCCGGAGGGAAGTCTCGGTCCTGACCGGAGGCGACTGGAGGCTGCTTGCCTCCGGCCCCGGACTTCTCTCGAGCAGGACTCGGGGACGTGGTAGCTGGCCACCTTGTTACAAGACACACTCTCTCTCTGCGAATCGTCGCGAGGGAGGACTAGCACGTCCTATATATTGGGAGGCGAGCCGTCAGGTTGAGCTGATCGGGGGGGCGGCGGCGAAGGGTCTCCTTACATTTGCCCTCGCTAATGTATGGTCAGGTCTGGACGTTTTCAGAGACTATAAGTTCTGGAAAAGTCATCAAATGGGGCCGTGTGACATGAGAGGCCCTGGTTGATTTGTGGCCCCTTGAGTTGGGCTCGAGGGTTACATTTGACCTGGCTAATGTGAGGTCAGGTCTGGACTTTCTCTGGGATGTAGGTTATTGTATATTGGGAGAGAGACGGCTGGTGCCTTCTTACATGTTTGTTGTGGTGACATGTCACATGGGAGGGGAGCCTGGCTGATTTATAATCCCCGGTCCACCGTGAGAGTTACCCTACACTTGACCCCCCTAATGTCGGGTCAAGACTGGCCCCCCTCTGCGGTGTAGGACATTGTGTATATTGGGAGAGAGCCGGCTGGTGCCCTCTTACATGTTTGCTGGCCGTGTGACATGGGAAGGGGAGCTAGTTGATTTGTAGCACCCTTGAGCACCTGCGGGGGATACCCTTACACTTGACCCCCCTAATGTCGGGTCAAGTCTGGCTTTCCTTGCGATGTAAGCTGTGGTCTGACAACCCATCACTACAGGTGGGTGTAGTGTGGTGGGTGTAGTGTGGTGGGTTGGGTGTAGTGTGGTAGGTGTGGTGTGGTGGGTGTAGTGTGGTGGGTGTGGTGTGGTAGATGTAGTATGGTGTGGTAGGTAAAATAGTGTGGTGGGTGTAGTGTGGTGGGTGTAGTGTGGTGTGGTGGGTGTAGTTTGGGGAGGGTGTAGTGTGGTGTGGTAGGATGTAGTATGGTGTGGTAGGTAGTGTGGTGGGTGTAGTGTGGTGGATGTGTGATTAGGTGTAGTGTGATGGGTGTAGTGTGGTGGGTGGGTGTAGGTGTGGTGTGTGGGTATAGTGTGGTGGGTGTAGTGTGGTGTGGTAGGTAGTGTGGTGGGTGTAGTGTGGTGGATGTAGTGATAGGTGTAGTGTGATGGGTGTAGTGTGTGGTGTAGTGTAGTGGTGTAGTGTGATGGTGTAGTGATAAGTAGTGTGGTGGGTGTAGCGTGGTGGGTGCAGTGTAGTGGGTGTAGCGTGGTGGGTGTAGTGTAAGTGGGTGTAGTGTGATGAGTGTAGTGTGATGGGTGTAGTGTGGTGGGTGTAAAGTGATGGGTGTAGTGTGGTGGGTGTATGATGGGTGTAGTGTGGTGGTGTAGTGTGGTGGGTGTAGTGGCGTGGGTGTAGTGTGATGGGTGATATGGTGGGTGTAGGTGGTGTAGTGTAGTAGGTGTGATGGGTGTAGTGTGATGGGTGTAGTGTGGTGGGTGAAGTGGTGGATGGTGTAGTGGGTGTGGTGGGTGTAGTGTAGTGGTGTAGTGTGATGAGTAGTGTGATGGGTGTAGTGGTGGGTGTAGTGTGGTGGGTGTAGTGTGTGGCGGTAGTGGCGGGTGTGTGGTGGGCAGGTGTGGTGGGTGTAGTGGTGGGTGCTAGGCGTAGTGGTGGGTGTAGAGGGTGGGTGTAGAGTGGTATGTAGTGTGGTGGGGTGGTGGTGGGCGTGTGTGGTGGGAGTGTGTGGTGGGTGTAGTGTGCTGGGTGTGTGGTGGGCGTGGTGGGTGTAGAGGGGCGGGGAGGGGTGTAGAGTGGTGGGTGTGGTGGGTGTAGAGTGGTGGGCGTAGTGTGGTGGGTGTAAAGTGGTGGGCGTAGTGTGGTGGGTGTAAAGTGGTGGGCGTAGTGTGGTGGGCGTAGTGTGGTGGGTGTAGTGTGGTAGGTGTAGTCTGGTGGGTGTAGAGTGGTGGGTTTAGTGTGGTGGGTGTAGTGTGATGGGTGAGGTGTGGTGGGTGTAGTGTGGTGGGTGTAGTCTGGTGGGTGTAGAGTGGTGTAATTACTGTACCTGAGTTTTATACCTAAACCATATCGTGTTGAGAATATCGAGAATATTCTCACTAAATCTCAATAACCAAGTATGACTTACACACTGTCAGCATGACCAGGTGAGAGAGGTGGGTCGTGCGTACATCAAGGTTAACAAAGTGAATGTCTCAAGGAACCTTTCTGAACTACGGTGGTTCGCGGGAGGGCACTGATATACAGTATGTTAACTTCTCCTTCACTAGCCATGTAACCCTTACATATGACTTAACCCTTGATATCTCTGTCATGACGTCGATGGTAGAAAAATCATATGCATGAAGATTTAGGTGACTAGATCAAGAAATTTTCGTCCAGTATTGATAACTTGCAAGGATTTTTAAAGAATTTATATTTGTTGTTGCAGGATGCTGGGTGTCCGTGCTACCGCTCTCCTGCGCCCAGGCACGTAAGGTAAGTCCCGTCCTAGATGTGTAATGAGTATGACAACACTTCTGCTGGTTCACATTTACGACTAATACTGAAGAATGGGAGTGAGTGAAATTTACCTAAAAAGTTACAAAAGCGAAAGTTGATGAACTTTTAGTTAAAGAAACGTAAATTAATATTCTTCAAACAAATTAGAGCGAAGTGATGCTAAAATTCAATACGAAAAAGTATAGTTAAAGTGGAACAAATATGAAGATTCATCTAAAGAGACAGCCGGATCATGTACACAAATTCACTAACAATGATATTAAAACAAATCATGTAAAATATATAATGAACATGAAAAAGAGGCATTCACCAAAATTGTTCTTAAAAACATTGAAATCGGAAATATGGGAGTTGGATGTCAAGGCGAGTATCCTCGAGTATTATTCAACAGACAAGGTCTGGATCATACTATAATATTTTTTGTGCAACGCGACCCGGATGGTTATTGTGTGGAACATTGTCACCAGGACTCACGACACCGGAGGTGATACTAGCATTACATGACCTAGCCCTGATGAGGACATCAGTAGTACCAGTATCAGGTTCAGTTACAAAAAAAAAAGAAATACCTGCAGGTACCATAATCCCTGGTAAAGATATTGTTATGAAAGTTGCAGCCACCACCTGATTCGCCCTCAGACCTGGCAGTGAAAACATTTACAGATATGCATTTCGTGTATTACCTTGTAAAAAACACTTCTGTAAATAAACATTATCATATCGGTAAAACTACACATAAATTAACTGGTATGTCAAGGTCTCCCCTGTCCTGTTTTATTTTATTCTATACTTCTCTTTGCTGGTTATCGCCACGTTTCTTGTTATCGCTTCATGTCTGATACATTATGAAAAGGAGCTTGCAGTAGCTACTGTATATTTTAACTTATAAATATTTTTTATCGGAATCTTCATCATAAGCATCACTTTACTTCTGCAGTCTACACGAGAACAATACTGTACAGTTTCTTGAAGCACGCCAGCTTGTCCCAAATTCAAGCACAAGAATTATTCTTAGTAAGCAGACAATATCTCGTGTTTCACTTCTACACAAACCCAACCCCCTACATTTATCAGATTCTTGATCTCTTCACATTCTCTAAAGGCACACAGGAACTGAACAGTTGTATAGGTTACATTATCACACCTGTCTGCACCTTGTGGCAAAATATAACACAAAATGGAAAAATAATGAATTCGATAAACTATCGGTCACTACGCATCGATTAGATTTGTCTCCAGTCTTGAATACTTACAGGAAAATTGAACTTCACCATTTTCAAGGAGTCGCTGGTTTTTATCCTCTTCTCTATGCCAAAAAATGAATAATAGTTCATGTGGTAAAAATATAGTGTTTCCAGTTTCGTACATATATGAGGTAACATGATGTTGTTTCCGCAGCTTGTGCCGCCACAAACGCCGCCACAGGGAGAGAAGCTGGACGCCCAACATTCCATTCTGCCTCTGGTGAGGTTTGAGTGTGTGGGTCGAGCCGGGGGCTACTATGGAGACATGGACTTCGGCTGTACCGTCTTCCACTACTGTGCTAAATCCGGCCAGAGGTTCACTTTCAAATGTACCCCAGGACTCACATTTAATGAGGTGAGGACTACCGGCACTACTGCTGACAGCAAGGTAGGAAATGCTGACATTCAGGGGAGATATGCTTGAAGTTGACACAAGAATGAGGATATTGACAGTCAGATCAAGGAAACTGATAGTCAAGTGAGTGATACCGACTGCCAGGTAAGGGATGCTGACAGTCAGGTGAGTGATGCTAACAGTCAGGTGAAGGATGCTGACAGGCAGGTGAGTGATAATGACAGCCAGGTGAAGGTGCTGACAGTCAAGTGCTCAGGGGTATCTCTATCATGTCACCCTGTTCACAGTTACTTTCTTGGTATCTATAAATTTTCTAATATTTTTAAAAATGGTGAAAACACTGATATACTGTCTTCAACATAAGTTTAGAATCACTTGGATATTCTGAGTAATATTGTGCTTTTAAGCACACGTCTAAATTTATACGCTGACGAATTATTTTTATAGACTAAAACTTGTTTATTTACTTCCAACTGAGACGTATCGGAAGAGAAAAGAAATCGATTAAGAAACAAATATTTAGTTTTGTTACAGTAACCAACCCTAACTGATATAGTCAACCTCACTGAAAGATGATAAGGATATTCTTTAGATAACTTAGGTAGGGTAAGATAGGCTGTTTGGTTGATTTTTGTTTTATCTTAAAAGAGCTGCATGGTATTATAGCCTCCAAGGCGGATTCTTGTTGACAAAACAGCAGCTTTTCTTAAGGAAATTTTATACATAATTTTCAATACTAAATTCTCTTTTCCTGATACCAGATGCATCAGAATTTAATGTTAATACACAAGTTTTATTCTATGAAATAAGTTCGTCAGAATTATAGTTTAGACACGTGTGTAAATAACTACCGTACAAGATATAGGGTAATTTTCTTATTTTAAGTTGAATAGACGTGGTAGTATCCTCAGAATAAATTAAAATATTAATATCTTACATTAACAAAGTCATGTTAATCTTTGTATCGTAACGATACCAACAACAACTCTTGGTCCTTCTAATCATTCCTGCAACTCATTTTTTAAATAGACACCAAACTGGTTGACTGGCGATATGTTTCAAAGCAATGCCAAAAATGGCGTTTAAATCATACGTTGACTCTGTCGTAACTTGTAATGTTCTTTCATTATCTAGTTCTAAAAAATGAATCCGTTCACCGGTGCACAAATCTACACTCTGCTCCTACTGGAGAAACTATATGATTCTTGATCTTGCAGATGACGACAACATGCAGCGCCGGATTCCTAGGTGACTGTACACACCCTGAAATCGTTGGGTCGGCCGGAAACAACAAGTCTGCGAACCCGGCGCCAGTCCGGAGCTTCCAAAAAGTTCCCGTATTCGTCAAAGAAGATGACGACCGCCAAGATGACCCGAGGGACTACCCCGAGCCCTTCATTCAACACTACGACCCTGCACTTGACCTCGACTACAACTATGAGTACTATGACACTGACAACGCACAGTCGGTCCTGTCAGACGCACTGCCTGCAGCCTCGAACAGAATGAGTCACAACAGCAACCACATCAAACGTTCGTCCTCACTCTGGGACAACGACATGGCGTCTGCACTGTCAGCCTTTGCTTCTCTAGCTAACGTACCCTACGACAACCCAGCTCCGGCTAGGGAAGACAGGGTCGATCGCTCCGACAACTTTGGTAGAGTGGATTATGTGGACACCATCGACCGGGCATTTATTGCTCGACCTCCACGGCGCAGAAGACCCGCTCAGAGGCAAAGCACCAGCCATTTCTTCCAATTGCCATTCTTCCAAGCACGAGAAAAGAAGCCAGTGCGTGTAGTTCCTCCAAGGGGTCCAGGACAGAGAGAAAAGTTCATTCACACACAGCAGCAGAGCCCTTACCGGCCACTACCACCAGCTGACAACTACGAAGCTTCCTCGGGTTTCCGATCGCCACACCAGGAATATCAACCTGATAGTTCTTTTGTTGCTCACCAAGATTCTTTTAGCTCTCCTGAGGAGAGGCAAACCACACCAGACTCTTTCCGTCCCTCATCTATCCTGACCGATGATCCTGACGACTTCCAGCCCGTTACCTCAGCGTCTAAGCAGTCATCACTACTCGAATTGTCAGATCTAGTTCGCCCCAACAGAGACGCCAACCATCAGGCGGGGCACTCTTCTCTATCTACCAGTTTCCAGTCTTTCTCCCCCTCGCCCCAACCTTTTAGCTCGGGGGGAAGGGTGCCCGTCCAGACCTCCTTTGGTTCTCACACGTCTCCCAGACACTCCCCGACGACCCCCTCAAGTTTCCTCCCTGGACCCAGCTTCCCCTCCAATGGTAACTTCGTATTTAATCAACCACCTGTTCATCCAGGAATATTCACCCGACCTTCCCATCACATACCTTCTACGTCTAGGAATATATTTGGTGCACCGCCAGCCCCAAGACAACAAGTGGACAGCTTCGGTCACCAATCATCATCTCAACAACCAGTACAGAGATTCACTCACCAGCCTGCACCTAATTCAGTGACAACCTTTGGTCACCAACCTACTCAAAGTCATTCACCAGGATCCTCCTCAGTGATAAGCTTTAATCAGCCATCAGCTCCTCACTCTGGACAAAGCTTCAGTCAGGCATCAGCCTCTCACCTTGGACAAAGATTCAGTCAATCATCAGCTCCGCACTCCGGACAAAGCTTCGGTCAGCCATCAGCTCTTCACTCTGGACAAAGCTTCAGTCAGCCATCAGCTTTTCACTCTGGACAAAGCTTCAATCAGCCATCAGCTCCTCACTCTGGACAAGGCTTCAGTCAGTCACCAGCTCCTCACTCTGGACAAAGATTCAATCATGCATCAGTCTTTCGGCCTGGGCAAAGCTTCAGTCAATCATCAAATCTACCACCTCCAGGACAAACTTTCAGACAGCCAACCTCCTCTCCAAAGCACATAAAAAATTTTGGACCACCAACTGTCCCTCCAACAGATACAAACTTTGGTAGGCTATCACCTAGTGTGAGTTTTTTCCACCCAGCGACACAGCAAAGACCAGTGCACTCCTTCGGCAAACCAACACCACTTCCTTTTATATCTCAAACACCTGCCCCTGTTGAAGTCCCGTCGCACTTCACTCCAGGGTTCCAGCAAGATCACACCATCTCACAACATTTCCAGCATCCTTTCCAAGACTCCACAGAGGCTCCTTCGTCGGCTGTGTCAACCTTCCCCCACACAGAGAAAACTTCAAGCATTGAAGAAGCCTCACAATCCCCACAAAGTTCTTCAGGTGTCAAGGACTTTCCATTCCGAAGGACAAGTACGACATCTGGTGTCTCTGAAAGTCCCAGTGTGGTAAATGATTTTGATAGTGGAAAAACTGAGGAACATCAGACAGAGGAAGACCCACAAACCCAACCCACTGGGCGACTTTCTTTTGATCCAAGACCAACGAATAGACGAAGACCAATTGAAAATCAGCAGAGACGACAACAGCCTGCCCGAAGAAGACCAACAAGACCACGAAGACCCACTACACAGCCACCCTTTACAGAGTCCACTCTCATCACAGGCCTGGAAAACTCTGAATTTAACAAGCCGTTCTTAACACCACATGGAGTGTGGCCGGCCATTACCAGACTTCAACCACGACCCGTTACTGAGGAGACGTCAGAAGAGCCTTTCATCGTCACTACCCCTTTTCCCACCCCGGTAACACCAGCGTTCTCACGAGTACCAGGATTTTCCAACCAAGAAGAGCCGGGGACATTCCAACCACCGGCTGGTATATTTGACCCCACTCTTGTACCAGCACGACCCACTCACGATCCTCATCATTTAGATGATGATGCACATGTTCAAGCAGACATTCCACCTCCAAATTTTGATGAAAATTTACCTTCTATTATCAATGCTGTAGAGAGCTTGGAAGAGGAAACGAATGTCATTTTATCCGGTGAGAGCGATTACACTGGCGATAGAGAAGTACTTGAGACTGTGACGGAATCAACACCTTTAACAACAACACCAGAACCCTCGACAGAAGCTAAAAGACCGTTCACCAGACGTCGTCCTAATATAAGGACCCGCTTGCGTCCACGTATCTCTTCACGAAAGACCACACCGGCCCCTGTGGCAGATGAAGCTGAGACTCCAGCTGAAGAAGAATATGATGCCTTCGAAGATTCTCCAGAGACAGATGATGCCCCTGTGACCACTGAGGCACCTCAACACACGACGACACTCTCTCCCTTCAGGCAAAGACTTCAAGATCGTCTGAATCGACTGAAAAACAGGAGACAAAACCCCAACCGTGTGACCACAACAAAGCGGCCAGAGAGTAGTAATGACACTCCCAATATCACCACCACCACGACTGCTACAGCGGCACGAAGGCGACCTTCGCGAAGACACTATAACTTAAATCCAGAAAGATTTCGAAAGTACAGAAACAGAGTGAGAGGAATAACTACGACAGCAGAAGATTCAGGGTCAGATGGTGAGAGCACCACAACGGAAAAACCTGCGGACGCTGACGACTCATTTACATCAAATCTAAGAAGCAGGAGAATAAACCGATTTAGACCGAAAGCAATTGAACCTGAAGATGATAACGTCCTCCAAGTAAAAGAAATCTTGAGAAGAGATCAAGATGTTCAGGAGACCATCCAATCTGTCGTTCACAAGAAACCAAACTTTAATCAAGAACAATCCTCGTCGTCAGAAACAAGAACAATCGAAGAGCAACCTGATGAGATAATAGAAACAGCGGAGCAAACCTCTGTTTATCTGCCTCAAGCTCCCCAGGATAATGTTGATGACGCTGGTGAGGTGGGACAAAACACTCCTCCTGAGTCACCTGACAACATTGATGAAGATGACCAAGATTCTCTCGTCACTCCCGGGGCCGAGACACGCAGGATGGTCATTAATCCTAACTTCAGAGCGCGCTTCAGAGAATTTTTGAAAAATAGAAAGAATCGATTAAGTGCTAGTTATCGTACAACAGAATCACCCGACACAGTAAATGATGATGCTAAAGAAACCGCAGACAATTCTGAGAAGGAAGAACAAGAACCATCAAACCCAATTTTCCCTGACAGAAGCCAACAAATAGGTCAGCACATACGAGACCTGAGGGCGAAGTTCTTAAATAACAGACAACAAAGTGAAGAGGAGCGACTCAGTCGCAGGATCCCAGCTAGACCATTGAGGAATAAAATTTCTGGTGAGACACAAGCTGAATTACAAGCTGAGACAGATACAGAACCTAAGGAGGTCGCAGAGGAAGAAAATCTTACGAGAGAAAGTCCCCTAAATTTTGAAAAATTGGAGACCGATACTCAGGACACAGAAGAAATTTATGAGACTCCTCAGCCCAAGGGCACAGAGCCTGAAGAGTCCACAGCATTTAAACCTATCTTCAGCCCGTCTACATCAGCCACTCAGCCATCCCCGGCCCCCTTACGCCACCACCAACAAGAGCCAGACATTATAACAGCACCACCATCCTCGAAGGACGGAGACGTAGTCATGTCCTTCAAAGTGTCCGCCAATCTCGCAGGAGACCCGGAAGAATCTCATGGTGAAGCACGAGAGGAGTCGGAAAGCCAAGATTCAAAAATTTCCCCACCGTCGGAAATGATCGTCCGAGAGATTGGTATTGATTCTTCCTTACCACAAGACGAAGAAGAACCCAAAGTAAAGGATTTACAAACAGACACTTTGGAGGATGATTCACACTCGCTACATATTGAATCAATTTCTCATAAATCTGCTCAAGAAGTATCAGAAAGTCCTCAAGAAGCAGCCGAATTACAAGAAACGCCAGTTCTCATTTCGATTCAGTCTCCAGCACCTGAATCCTCGAACACGGCGGTCCCACGATTAGACCTACATTCCCCTGCCCCCACAATGTCCGCGAGAGTGTCTTACGAAGACTTCGATTCAGATGACGCCGCTAAGCCTCCTGTTCCACGAGTTTCTAAGCCAACCTTTCATTTGGGCTCCGCTATTGGCCGACCCAAGAAGGTGGAGTCTTCGGCCGTCTCAGCGTCAGACTCGAGAAACGCCCTGACCCCCACGCCTTTCCCTTCCATCACCATGGCAACCGACCCACCACGCCTCCCATTAGAAATGCTATTGCCTCTGTTTAATAATAGACGGTGAGATGCGTTTATTATATATTAGTAATACCTTTTGTATTTTATCATTTATTATCAATTAAGAAGGGTTTTGTAGTTAGGCTTTAACCTTCTGAGTGATAACTATGAGCAACTTTAAGGAATTTATTCTGACGATTTTATTGAACTGGGGGGAAAGTCTTAACAATCAGTAGGTCAACTTAATGTCATAATCATGATTCTATTAGCGGAATCTTGCAAAATGCTTCCTTAGTAGCCATATAATAATTTACAATACTTTAATTAGAATTTATTCTATACAGCAGAATATATATATATATATATATATATATATATATATATATATATATATATATATATATATATATATATATATATATATATATATATATATATATATATATATATATATATATATGTTACATTTCGACATTCTATTATGTTAATTATTCCTGTCTTCTCGCATCCTCTTTACCTTAAAATTATGTAAATACGGAACAGTACATTTATAAACCTGAATCTCACGATAACTATATTCCTGTACATTAATGACAGACTTTCCCTTTGGTGCATACTCGAGAAACTGTACTTAGAGGTGTCAAAATCCTCTGAACCTGGTGGCAATATTATAAATTGTTTTTCTATGTAATTAGATTTTCGAGTGTCATCGACTGTATATTTTTGTAGCTAACTTACAGCACATTACACCATGAAGAACGTTTTACAGGACCTTTCTGATGTTTGACTATCAACTATAAAAATAGCTTTACACCTCTACAAAGATAAGTGACACCTTACAAACTATACATTTGTTAAGGTGACAAGTGGTCGGCCACACAACCTGCTAACCGACCGCTCCCTCAGTCAAAGGAGCTGATGCTTCTCTGGCTCCCACCTCTCCCATAACTATAATAGTATTATACTCTTAAAACCTTTATACTCCTATGCTATTTATATTATGTATTATTTATATATTTTGAAACAACTTTTATATTTATATGACGCATTTTTACACAATTCTTATACTTGTGGAATGAACTATTGTATGGTGCATATATTTTTTAATGTTCTATGTTAGTGACTATAGAGGTATTTGCTCACTATAGCTAGCTTGATGTGTATTCCCCCTTTCCTTTTCTCTTATATATATATATATATATATATATATATATATATATATATATATATATATATATATATATATATATATATATATATATATATATATATGCAAATAAATCACTGTAGGTACGCGTGATCCAGGTATATGCTGATAACCACAATGTGAATTAAAGAAAGTGCTTGTGTTTCTTATATATATATATATATATATATATATATATATATATATATATATATATATATATATATATATATATATATATATATATATATATATATATATATATATAATTATATGAATGTATGTGCGGTATAAAGGGATCAAGCATACTTCTTATAACCCAGATTGCAAGAACATGAAATTCAGCAATGACTGGATTCTATACCCTAGGATCTGAGGTCTTATTATTACGATCTTGTCAAGCCTGGTGCATGTTGTGTCCCTCTACTATGTGGCATAATATAGAGTCTGTCTGTTTATTCCTCCTCATTGTGTCAGCTGTGCGGTCCTTCTGTGTCAGGTATAAAAATATTAATTTATACTTCATTCAGTCAGCTAAAACAATATTGTGTGTATGATGCAAAGTTTAATTACCTCCCTTTTTATTCAGTGTCAAATATTAAGTGTGGGTCAGATATTAATTTTCATCACCGTGTCTGGTTTGAAGTCTTACTCCATCACTGTCAGTTGTTAAGTCTAACTCCTCTTTTCTGTGTTAGATAATAATGTCTTGTGACAGATATATTGTCTTGTGTCAGTTATAAAGAAGTCTTGTCAGATATAACGTCTTATCAGAATTGTATTTTTATTTCGTGTAAATAAGAGAGTGGCAAACAATATTTATCTCACGTATTTATTTTGCTGTTCTACGAATATACTTTGTACAAATAAAATGAATATGAAAATAATGAAAATATTTTCATTTTCCTTCCAGTTTAAACCCAAACCTGATGAATCAAATTATATTACATTACATAACTATTAAACAAGTATCACTTTCAGCTGCTGCTGACCAAGGTATTTACTAATCTGTGGTATAAGGTCCAACATGCTCGCCTCGCAAGCGAGTGGTCCCGGATTCGATTCCCGGGCATGTTAATTGTTAATTGATTTGCGGATCGTGTTCCGGGATAACAGGTAGCCAGTGCAGTTGGTGAGTTGTCCGGTCTTCTCAGACTATACCTTGACACTGGGTTATGCAACTCGTTAACTTAGGGTATGGTCGTTGTATTGGCGACAGCTTCTGCACCTAAAGCAAATTCACGCCTAGATGGCCCTTGGGGTGACCGTCCTCGTACACGAGGGGCAACCATTACTATTATTATTTACTAACCTGGGATACGTGCTTTAAAACCTAAATTGTGAAAGTGCAGTAAAATACAATGACGTTATCAAATTACAGTACAGTTTCACTGCAACTACAGCGCCATATTGCACGTTCTCTTCGTGTCGCTGATAAAGGGAGACCGTTAGATGTGAGTTTAGACATCACCAAGTTGTGGGAAAATTTAGAACACAAGATTATAAGAATTCTGGCCTAAACATTTACACTTGATAGATATTATGACTGTATACCACGTCATGGCGCCTCACTCAAACACTCGACCAGCAGTGCCTTTTTGGGGTTGAGTTTAAACAACCTTAAGAACGCCTTCTTGGCAGACCAACTAACCCAGTGAGTACTTTTCCTCATCGTGCAAAATCCTCGCAGAGTAACCATATAATTCACCAAAACTCTCAGCGAACAGTAGAGAACAGAGTTGATGATAGGCAAGGTTGGGTGAGAATAGAGGTCAAGAGGGAGCAGGGTGCAGTGTGGTGGTGAGGCAAGTCTTCCGGCCTGAGTAGCACCACCGTCAATTTTATGTATACACGTTATTGACACACCACACCGGCTATTTATTATTACATTCAATATTCCATCCACACACTACACATTCCACACACTACGCGCTCCACATACTACACCCTCCACATACTACACTCTCCAACCACTACACCTTCCACATACTATACCCTCTACACACTACACCTTCCACACACTACACCCTCCACACACTACACTCTCCACACACCACACTCTCCAAACACTACACCCTCCACACACTACACCCTCTACACCTTCCCCACACACTACACTCATCCACACACACACACCTTCCAAACATTACACCCTCCACACTCTACACCACACACCACGCATTCCACACACAACACCTTCCGCACACTACACATTTCACACACTACACCCACCACATAATACACCCTCCACATACTACACCCTCCAAACACTACACCCTCCACATACTACACCCTCCAAACACTACACCTTCCATACAGTACACTCTCCATACTACTACTACTACTACTACTACGGTACTTTGCTGTCACACGGATTCGAGTATGACGATCATCCAGCTATGATACAATGATATGAATTATTAAGGATGTCACATTCGTTGGTGAGCTCTGAGGTGACTCGAAAGGCCGAAACGGGACCAGCAGGGCCGTCCACAGATTTTGCACATGTGGTGGGTTATATCTAGCGCAGCGTCTTTTCGGCACTTACGCTTGTCTGCCTCTGTATGCAGTCGGGCCAACTAGATAGTATTAACACCTCGTGTGGTTCTCCTTCAAGCGTTAGGTGTGGAGTAATCGTCTCCCAGATGAGGAGGTCGATTTGGCACTCTTTCAGGTTTGTCTTAAGACTATCCTTATACCTTTTCTGTTGCCCGCCAGCATTACATTTACCATTCGTTAGGTGACTGTAAAGTAGCTGCTTTGGCAATCTACTGTCGTCCATGCGGGTAACATGGCCAGTCCAACATAGTTGTTCATGGATACTGGTAGCCTCGATGCTCCTACAGTTGGTGCCAGCGAGAATACTGGCATTTGTTTTCTTGTCTTCTCAGCAAACTCGGAGGATGAAACGTAGACTACGTTGGCGATAGTGTTCAAGTGACTTGAGGTGCCTTCTGTATATGACCCATGTCTCGCTGCCATACAGCAGGGGGAGTAGGACTACTGCTCAATACACGTGCACCTTTGTAGATAATTTCAGTTCCCTACAACTGAAGACACAGGTACAGAGTCTGTCAAAGGCTTAAGATGCACATCTGATCCAATGTTAAATCTATTCATCGATGTCCACGGCGATGGACAGGTGGAAGCCAAGATACTGAAAGTGGGTAATATTAGAGATGGTAGTAACTGTTAACCTGGATGGATGGATGGCGATCTCTTTCCCTGACAATGTTAAACTTGTTGGCCGGCCTAAACAAGATGTTGGTGATAGTGATAGATTACAATTGCCCACCACGTTTCTCCCTATATGGTTCCCTGCCATAAGTCAACATCTCTACCAGTTCTAGCATTGAAGTCACCTACGAGCACAACCTTATCTTCTCTGGGGATAGAGGTTAGCACTCTGTCAAGGTCGACATAAAAGGCATCCAGTGTTGGGGCCTATGCACTAATGAAAAAGGCATGAAGTGAGTGATTCAGTGGGACTTTGAGCGTCATTAGGCACTCGTTGAACCTGACAGGCATTTTTTGTTAGCCTCTGTAGGATGGATTGGCGAAAGGCAAAGCCAACTTTATAAATGCAATTTCTCTCTGCAGCAGGCTTACCCTTCCAGAAAAAAGGTATAGCCAGACCCCCGTTTTGTGAGTCGGTCATCGTCTAGGAGCCAGGACTCGTCTGGGAGCCGGGACTCACTAATGGCTGCGATGTCGATATTGTACGTACATAGAAAGCTTTGTTGCCACAAGGGCAGTTCTTCTTTCAGGACGCTGCTTTGCGCCAGTTTCCAGAAGGGTCTTGACACTCCATGCGGCGACTATAAAGAGGTATAATCTGTTTTTGCTTTGATCTGTGATTATGATTATGTTTTTAACGCAATAGGATGACTTTAAAGGCTGTGGTTGCCCAGTCAGGTTGTTTTTTTAGGCATGCTATGTTTAGGGCACTTTTTCTAGTCCCCTCCCCATTAGGAGTGAATAGAGTGGCTCCTGAAAGAGGCTGCTCGTTTGCACAGTCAGGACCAGATTGCATTTCTGCCCAGATCCCAGTGCATAAGCGACCAACTTATCTATGTACGCCCATGTGCAGATTTGTGACTAGTGACTCCTGGCAGTCATCTCTGAGTATCCCCGTTGCCACTCGTTTGTCTCCATAGG